TAGGGACTCCAGCCCAGAAGAGAGATGCTGGGTGGTGGGCAGTTGGCATTTGTGCCTCACTAAAGCCTGGCGTGGCCACCAAATGCGGTTATTGTCCAAAGTAAGCAAGGGCAGGAAATGCAGGCATTAGGATAGAGATCCCAACAACACGACATCCGACAACAGGAGGCACAGAGGCAGCAGGGAGGCCCAGCTCTGTCTTCTCTCTGGGCAGACAGAAAACCCCTTTCGGAGTTAGAACATCTGGCTTCTGGACGGGGCCTTCTTCCAGGCTATGTCTGAATGCCCAGCACGGAGAGACCTGGTGCTTGCCACAACTGAGCAGTTACTCTAGTTCCACCTCTGTCATGTGACTTTGGGCAAGTCCCTTCGACTTTCTGAGTCCCTTTTCTCATCTGTGAAATGATAATAACAATACCTGTCCACTCTGTTGTGATACAAAACGGATATCGCAAATGGGCTGATGACTTCCATCATAGCTTTTCAACCGGGGTCATGGCTGGGCCTCTGAGGAGTATCAGTCCTTTCATCGTGTATATACGACTTTATGTCTGTGCGTTTTTTAGGGAAAAGGATTCATACTTTTTTTTTTATTATCAGGGTGTCAATAGAGTTTCAGATATTAAAAACCACTCATGCATACAAAAACATTTTGTGATCCGACGCTGTGCAAATTTAAGATAAAAAGAGAACGCAACCAACCTTTGTGCTTTCTCCTCCTAACAAAAATGCCAGGGCCCAGAAACCACCTGACAACGCTTTCCACAGGGAAGTGTCCACGCGGGGCTGGTGTCCACGCGGGGGTTGGTGTCGGGTCGCAGCTGGGAACCGAACTCATGCTGAGCGTCTGGGAGGGGAACCTGAGGGCCTGGAAACTGCTCCAGGAAAGGTGTGCCTGGGGTTTTTCTGACCCGAAGTGAAAACGTGAAGTGAAAGAAGTGCCACAGTCGCAGCTGGCCTCCCCAGGGCCACTGCGTTTCAGGTTCCTCAGAGCCGGGCACCTGCAGTGGGAAGCTGAGATTTGATACCTGACTGGGAGTGGGAAGGCCTAGGTTCGAGTCCCTGTCCTGCCACGGAGTGACTTTGGGCAGGTGCCTTCTCCCCTCGGACTTTCTCTCCTCTCTTCAAAGTGGGTGGGTTGATGGGGAGATTCCCATGGTCTCCTCCAAGAAACTTCAGCACATTGGATCCCAATTTCACAGGTTTTGGAACCAGACCTCCCTGGATTCAAATCCAATTCTGCAACTTATGGGCTGTGTGACCTCGGGCAAGTTACTGCACCTCTCTGAGTCTCTGTTTTATTCATCTTGTAAAGTGGGAGAAATACTACCTGTGGCACATTGTTGTGCAGATTTATGATAGTTATTTCCTAAAGTCATGGTGCTGTGCCCGGTTTACAGTAGGTGCCTAATCAAAGGCAGAAAATGCTCAATAGAGTTAGTTTATAGGATTCTTGCAGGATTCTGAGTTCAAGTCGTGCCTGACCTTTGTCTGATAGCCGATGCAGATAGAAAGATCCCCATTTACTCACAGCTGACACTTTACCACCACTGGGGCCAAGGCATCACATTTTTGAAAAGCTGTTGGACCTGCAAGAATAACACATCAGAAATAGAAAAGGTGACCCTCTGGACCTGGTCCCCAGCCAGCTGGGCCCTGTGTCCAGCTGTAAAAAGGGTGTCAAGGGGCTTTCCTACCACATTTCTTCACCTAGTCCTCCTCTGTTCTTGGAAGCCCTTGATTGCAGTTGCAATAAAGTTTTCTGGAGTTTGGGGCCGTAAACTGTGTTCCTGTGCCCAAATTGTATTTATTGTTATATCTATTTCTATATCAAAAGTTATCTCCTCTGGGAGCATTCTCTGATCTCCCCTCCTGTTGGATAAAAGTCATTGAGTCCTATAATCACTGTCCATGCTGTATCATTTGTGTCTATTCTGCATCTTGCTTCCTGGACTATAAACTTCTTTTTTTTTTTTGAGACAGAGTCTCACTTTGTTGCCCAGGCTAGAGTGAGCGCCACGGCGTCAGCCTAGCTCACAGCAACCTCAGACTCCTGGGCTCAAGCAATCCTGCTGCCTCAGCCTCCCGAATAGCTGGGACTACAGGCATGCGCCACCAGGCCCGGATAACTTTTTCTATATATATTGTCCAATTAATTTCTTTCTATTTATAGTAGAGACGGGGTCTCGCTCTTGCTTAGGCTGATTTCAAACTCCTGACCTTGAGCAATCCGCCCCCCTGGGCCTCCCAGAGTGCTAGGATTACAGGCGTTAGCCACCGTGCCCGGCCCTGGACTGTGAACTTCTAATCTCGGGAGTCAGATCCGGGTCTGGGAGCAGAGTTATCTTTGTATTTTACTACCCCTCACCCCAAAAAGGTGTCTCCTAGCACAATGTCAGGCCTGCAGTAGACCCTTGGTGGGGTCTTTTGATGAGGGGCCAGAGGTAAGCAGAGCAGTGTCATAGGGATGGAACTCAGCCTAGCCAGGCCAGGCAAACTGGCGGCCCCCAACTCCCTTTCCCCTATCCCAAGCCCGTGGCCGACACTGCTCACCAATCCCAGTCCTTGTGCACCTCAAGCCTCACTGTGGCTCTCCCTGCAGTGCTCCCGACCTGGGAACCAGACTTGCAGAAACACAGGAACCACAAGCAACAGCTCCAAAGCACAAGGTGAACTGGAAGGTTGGCACCTGTCCACACTCTTGACCTTGTGGACGGACCAGGATAGTCACTCCTAAAATGGGCTTGGCAGGGGAGGTGGGACAGCACTGTGGGGAGAAGGAACTTAAAATCTCTCCAGTGATGTAAGTCCCAGGAGAAGTTTACTGATGCAGGACAAACAGGACACACTCCCAGGGGAGAGGCGAAAAGGGCTGCCAAAGGGGTTGTTTCCTGAATCAACTCCTTTAACACATCCCTCCTGGGATGCCTAGCACCTGAGCTGGCACAGAGTAAGCACTTCAATGTTTTTAAGTTAATTTATTGAATGAAAGAACAAACTAATGCCTATTAGGAAAAAAAAGCTTCTTGTTCAGACCAACTTTTGTGCTTCCTTCTCCCTCGGCTGCCGGCAAGCCCAGAGCTGAGTGCAATGTGAAACCACAGTCCCAGGGCCCATCGAGATTGGTTTCTGGTTCATTTACTGCTACTTCTAGAGTTTTCTAATGCGTTGCTTTTATTTTAACTGGCCCCAATTTATAATATAGCCGCCTCCAGTCCTTTTAGGAAAGAATTTGTGATTTATATAGCTTAAGAGCAAAGGATCATTTGCAACGTACCCTCCATATTTCCTTTCTCAAACAGCTATTGGTTATCAAAGAAACTCAGTCCCCAGGGAGTGTGTGATGTGGAGGAAAGAAAAGGGTCCCAAGTTAGGAGTCAGGTGCTCAGGGTTTGAGCCCCAGCTCTGGCCCCAGCCGGCTCCATGGAGAAGCCACTTACTTTCTCTTGCCCTAATACTGCCATCTGAAAAGAAGGCTGGAGGATGATGATGATGAGTGCTTGGCATTAGTACTAGCATGTTCTACATGTTATCTCATTTAAACCTCAAAACAACCCGCCAAGACTGGTATTATTATTATTATTTTCCATATTTTGTACATAGGGAAATTGGGGCCCAGAGCTATTAATAAACTTGCTGAGGATATTGGGAATCTGAGCCCTTGCCCAGCCATCTGAAGACACAGTATTGCATCCTATGGCTCTGCATTCTCCCTTCCCCCCTCCAAAAACAAACCTGGTAAATGAACTGAAATTAATTTGAAATCTGCTCACAGGACAGTTTGGTTGAGTCTTCTTCAAATATCTTCTTCCTCCTAAAAGTATCTCATACTTTAGCAACTTCCCTTTTAGAGAGTGGACTGGTGGTGCCCACATTCACAACATGCCTGAGCACTCACGCAGCCAGGGAAGGCTCACGGCTGTTGTGTGAGGCAGGTGGCATTCCCCGAACACACTGATCCACAGGGCGCAAGTCACTTGCCCCCACATCCACAGCCAGTGGCAGGCAAAACTGGGACTTGCGTCCTTGTGCTATGACAAGGCAGGGTTGGTAAAGGGGAGGATGGAACGCCTGCCCCTGCCCAGGGCAAGGGACTGTGACAATGGACACAATCTTGTCTCTTCCTTCCCAGGGGCAGATCGCATCTCTTTTCTCTCTCTTTTTAACTACAATTAGCTGGCACTAGATTTTGGTCTCGTTCCCACCAGCCTGGTGGAGTCCTGACCTTCTCGGCCCCCAGAACCTTGCCAGTCAGGCTGTTGGGCTTTAGAGTCAGACAGACGTGAGCTCCAGTCTTGGCTCGGCCAAGTATTATTGGTTTTGTGCCCTTGAGTAAAGTCATTCACTTTATTCATCACTTTCCCTCAGCTTCCCCATCTGTAAAATGGGAATAATAAATATTATAGTCGTTGTCTCATCAGTGGTGGTGAGCTGTGGGCATTCATTGAGGTAGCATCATGCCTAATACAGTCCCTGCCACATGCTAAGCCCTTCATTAACTGCATTAAGTGTCATCTCTGTGGTGCCTTTGGGCTGCTAGGGGGAGGGCCAAAGTGGGAGGTGAGAGGCAGGAGGGCAGGTAGCACAAGAACAGAGGGAGAAGAGCCTGTCCCGAGGCTCTTTTGGAGTTGGGGGAACAGGAAGCCGAGAATGTGCCAGGGGGCCTGCGTGATGACTACCAGGCTGGGGGTAGAGAAGTAGCCCCTGGCG